CACACACACATATCCCCCCACACCACACACACACACATCCCCCAGACCATACACACCACACACACACACACACCCCACACATACCATACCACACATACCATACACACATACACACACACCACACCCCCACATACCACACACACACATCCCCCCACACCACATACACACCACACATACCACACACACATATCCCCCCATACCACATACACACCACACATACCACACACACCACACACACACACACACCCCACACATCCCACACCACACATACCACACACACACATCCCCCAGACCATACACCACACATACCCCACACACATCCCACACCCCCCACACTCCCCACATACACCACCACACCCCCCACCACACACGCCCCCCACACTACCCACACGCCACACACACTATATACATACCACACACACATACCCCACCCCCACATCACATACACAAACACACAACCACACAACATACACCACACACACCACACACACACCACACCATACACACACCCCACACCACATACACCCCACACCACATACATACCACACACCCACACACACACATTCCCCCACACCCCACACCCCACATCACACACACACCATACATACCCCCACCACACATACATACACACCACACACACACCACACACACACACCACACATACCCCCACACACATACCATACCACATACACACCACACATACCACACACACCACAAAAACCCCACACCACATACACACACACACTACACACCACACACACATCTCCCACACACCCCACACCACACACACACACCATACACACCCCCACCATACATACATACACACCACACACACCACACACACACCACACACACACACCACACACACACCACACACACGTCCCTCCACACCACACACATACCACTCACACCACACACACACACACACATCCCACACACACCCCACACCACACACACATACACACCACACATACCACACACACACCACACACACATCCTACACTCCCACTTACCCCACATACCACACACCACTCACACACCACACACACACCACACCACACACATACCACACACACACATACCATACCCCCACCTACCCCACACACCTCACACCAGACACACACACCACACACGCCACATACACCACACACCACACACACACACTTACCCCACACACTGCATACCAGACACACACATACACACACCATATACATCACATATACCACACACACCACACACACCACACACACTCATCCCCCACCCCCACCTACCCCACATACCACAAGCCACACACACCACACACAGCACACATACCCCCCACACCACACTGCCCCACATCACACCCACACCCACACACCCCACACACACCCCCACACCACATACCACACACACACCACACACACACATACAACACACATACAACACACCACATACACATCCCCCAACCCCGCACACCACACACACACACCCTACCACACACACACCACACACATACCACACATACCCCACCACCACCCCACCC